CTGCAGATAATGGTTTCAATTTTCCCATGTTCACAGGCCTTAGCTTAGCCCATTCTCTCCTCAGTTCCACCTCCCTCTCACACTAAATGCTAATTCATATGGATGGAGCGGAAACTCAAAACTGTTTCCTTCGAGCACTCTAATGATAATGCAGGTAGCAATGGAAAAAATAACGTTCAGAAAACTGGTTGCAGTGAATTGACTCAAGTGCACTTATTAACAGTAACTCTACATGTCCTGTGCTAAGTAGCACTGGGATCTTGCTCAAGCAACTCCAAAAGAAATAAGTGGATAAGAAATACAATGACAAGTATCTAAAAAAAATTTTTTTAATTAGGTTGAAAGACTACTTGCCCTTGATACTCAGAGATTTCTACTGACAAACATCTTCATCATCAAGTTTGTGCTAAGAGAGCTTGTTCTTATCACATGGGGTACATAAAATGATTCAAGTGGTAAATAAACACTTAATTTGGGATTTAAAAATGTTGTACAAAAATTAGTTTTAAAAGGCCTTTTAAAATTGTAGGGAGAGGAAGCCATACACAGATGCAACCATAGTCATTATCTTATTTGCCAAAAAATGTGAACTCACATGCATTTAAAGATAGAAACTTAGGGAGAGGAGCATTTGTTTAAAACTGGGTGGTCTTCACATTTTCCAAATGTTTATTTAGTGATTGCAGAAACTTTGAGAAACAGGCTTCTAAAGGGGTAGAGAAACAGAGATAGGAGATAATAAGAAAAAAAATCATAACCCAGTTGTTGTTTTTTTAATTGTCATCTAGGTTATCTAATTATTATCATTATCATTAGAGTGCTCCGAAGGAAACAGTTTTGAGTTATCGCTCCATCCATATGAATTAGCTTTTAGTGTGCGAGAGAGGTGGAGCTGAGGAGAGAATGGGCTAAGGTCTGTGAACATGGGAAGATTGAAACCATTGTCTGCAGGCCCCACTTTAAGATTCATCACCTTGGAACAGAAGATGGAAAAGTGTGGCCACAAAATCCATGTAAGATCTGCTTATCATGTTTCTCTTTGTCAGGGAAAGTTTCTGAGGGGTAAAATCATGGGTAAAATTAAATGGTGTTTTATTATAACAATGTCATTCTTAGGGAATGTCAACATCCTGTGGGCCAGCTACCTGAGAAATGAACTCATTGATCCACATCCTGGGGACTTTCACCAGTAGTCAGTATTTCCTAAGGGACCTTTAAGCAGCCCAAACACTGTTGCTGTCAACACCCTTTTTGTTGTACTTGCTTAGAGTCTACAGCGGAGGAGGAGGAGGAGGAGGAGGAGGAGGAGGAGGAGGAGGAGGAGGAGGAGGAGGAGGAGGAGATGATTATGTGAGGCAGGATGTGAACTGATTTCCAGTTGCAGCAGATGTGAATCCAGATGCCCCCTAGCCCTGACCATGATGATTGCAACAAACAGACAAAAGTCCTAGTCATGCTGCTTTATTGAAAAGGGAGCCCTTGTATCATGCAACACATTCTTGCTTTGTTTCGGGCATTGAAAAAAAACATTGTAGCAAGAGAGACTTTAAAAATTACTGTATGTCCAAATTCTGAATATTTGAAAGATAATGTATGTCTGGGCAAGGATTAAGTTATCTAATTCATGGATTCATTTTTCCTCACATATTTAAAGAAGATTTTTAAGTCTCTTACTATCAGAAAATATCTTCCCATCCCAAAATAAACAAAGGTTATGTTAATCACTCCAGCAGATTCCATTTATATACTAATTCCAGGATTTGGAGTTCCAGATAAATAGAAACTTCCAAAGTTTGATTAATGCCTGATAAAATCTAGGTGTCATGGTTTCGACAGATGAAACTCTTCAAAAGAACTTCGAGGCATTGTTTACCTTAAAGAATCTTTTATTCAAGAAACAAAATATCAGCACTACATAGTTAAAGAAAAAAACTGAATTCCCCTCCCCTAGGCACAAAGTAGCAAAGCACAATTCCCTCCTCCAATTAACTGTCATAAATCACATTCCCCAATTAGCTTGAAGCAGCCAGCCAAATTTTTATCAACTCTGGGTGCAATAACCTTGATTTCCGCAGCTGAATTATTATTGTTATGCTAACGGGACTCTCATCCACATCCCCCCTCCCAGCAACAACTAACTCTAAAAGCGAAAGAGAAAAGATGGCTACATTTCCATCTGTTGTCAAAAGCAAGAACATCCGATGTTAGCAGCGTTGACACTAGGAATGAATGTAGAGAACTACAACTCCTATCGAGGACATGGCAGGAATAAGTGGGATATTGGAGGCCCATGTCCTCCAATAGTTACTCAGCTCTCATCTCACACACTGGCAGGCAAAGTGGGAAACCACTGCAATCCCATCAGCTCCACATGCAGTTCTGATCCTTGCAAATCAAGATTCTAAGAGGTTTTATACTGGATGGCTGGGAGAACAAGGGGACCTGTTTTCTCTCACACAGTTACAATCTTCTGCCCAGACTAGCTGTTGCAGCTATAGACCGTTGCCTATTTCAGTTTGTGTAATGCTATATACAGCTGAACAATTCAAAATAGGTTTTAAGGGCTTCTAGACCAGACTACCTTTTCAATGGACAGCCAGTTCAGTTTAGTGGTTAAGGCAGTGGTGGGATTCAAATAATTTAACAATCGGTTCTCAGAACAGAGCCCTTTAAGAGCTTTCCTGCTCGTTATTATTTGCACTCATATAGAGCTAGACAGGAAAAAGTTCCAGAGCCACAACCCCAGCTAATACTTGGTGGCCTTGCCCCCTTTCCCGTATGCACCAATCAGGAAACTAGAGAGATGAAGCTTCCATTCCTGATATTATCTCTGAGAAGCACACCTAGTTTTTGCCTGAGGGATGTGATCGAAGGTACCGTTTGTTTTCTGCCATTCCTCTCTTGGATTTTTGGGGAGTTTTTTTTTTTCCACACCTGGAAGGAAGTTGAATGAAAACCAGACACGTTCTGGAAAACACAGATTTATCATAACTAATTCACTGAACTCAATAAAAATAATTAGGTATCGGTTCTGCCGAACCAGTGCAAACGGCTGAATCCCACCCTTGGGTTAAGGCATTAGGTTAGAAACTGGGAGACTGTGAGTTCTAATCCTACCTTAGGCACAAAGCCAGCTGGTTGACCTTGAACTACTGTAGTAGTTTGGGCCAGCCACTCTTTCTCAGCCCAGAAAAACCTTGCTAAAATACCTGCAGGGATTTGCTCAAACAGTCTCTGAGAACTGAATACAAATGAACAGGAAAAATATATCCCTTTCCATTCCAGTAACACCAGAGTCCCTCAGAACTGTATCTAGGAATTGCAATTCCTCCATCAGCTCTAATATGCTGCTATTGGCAGAATTTTCACCTCCCCACATTATAGACATTTTTTTTTTCTAAAAACCTGGAGGCAACACTGAAGAGCATTCATTGCTAACAGTATATATATCCATTTCTGAGACAGGTGCCTGAGTCTGTACCTGTTCCATTATAGCTTCTAGTCAAACCAGATTGACAAGTTTTTAGAGTGCTTCCAGCTTTAAATTGAAGGATCCATAATCACTCTCTCCCCCAGCCCCCCCAAAAGAAATATGCTCATTTTGGTGGGACAGTTGCAGGATGTAATGCTCATATCAAAGTTGAGGGTGCTTCCTATAAATCACTGTCAGAATACAGTTTTAGAAGACTCTGTGTGTGTGTTTGTGTGTGTGTTTGTGTGTGTGGCATGACATGGTATAATGTGTGAGATAGAGAGGAAGCTATTGTATTCTTTATTTTTTGAAAAAAATGGTTAGTTTTTCCTAGTTCCCTTTAAAGATGAGATGTCTTTTAATGTATCTCGTTTTGAATGTATTGATTGATTTGGTACATTCAATGCAGTCCTTTCATTGATCTCTTTGGTCATAAGGCAGATGGACAGTTTCTAAAACATCTTAAGTCAATTTTGTATTCATACAGCAGTCATACAAATTCATTCACTGAACAGTTCCCATGCCAGCAACATTAACCCTTGGGTGGCCTTGCCAACCAAGAATAAATACTGTAAGTGAAAGTCAGGAGGGGTAGCATTGTTATGCTTTGTGATATTTTGGGATGGTTGTTAAGAAAAACCCTTCCTAGTACAAATAATGAGAGTAAATACATTTAAAGTAATTGAAAACTAGGCTACATTTTAATAAACTGGAGACTGTGGCACAATCCAGTAATGGCCAATTCTCACCATGTTCCCCTTTAGGCCTTTTCCAATATACTGCAGGCGTTTTTTGATGTTGGAAACAAACAACAAGGTTGCAGGGAATTTTGAATGCTTAATGTGAGATTTCTCCCAGGAAGAGGATTAGATTGGATTTTAATTTCTGAGGCTGATGTTTTGTCTTTGACCTTGAAAAGTGAGATTTAGGACCACACTGACAGAAAACAAATATATAAATGCCTGATTCCTTTCCACTTTCATTACCTAATTGCATTTGGTTAGCCAATAAAATCTTATTCATTTTCTCCTATCATTGTCTCATTTTATTCTCACTTGTTGGCATTGTCTTCTAACATTTCAGAAGAGGGATATGTAAGTTGCTAAGAAACAGTATCCTTGCTCTTTTTTAAAAAAAAAAAAAAAAGCATGATCAGTCTTTCTTAGGTGTGTAAAATTTTATTTCGCTTGTGTTTTTTTAAAAAAATATTGTTTCTTTATTTCTACTTATAAAGGTATCCTTTAAAAAAAAAACCCTTCAGAAAAAGTCAGTTCTTATCCTTGAGTCATCTATCTTTCTTCATGACCCTGGATAAGTCTGATGTAACAGGAAACCAGAATACATATCAAGTCAAACTTTTTAGAAAATAAATGCAATATCTCTTCATCTGAATTTGCAAAGCTAAAACTTTTGTTTGTGATCCTACAAAACAGGTGGTGCATTGAATCCAATCATGTATTCAGAAGCAAGAATAATGGACAATGTATCTAGAGACCTTGATGGATCATGCAATACACAGAACACTACAGTAAATTCAGTTCTTTATTTCAGAGAGCAAGTATCTGGTCCCAGTGAGTGGTGAAGAAAAATAAATGCTGAAACTTCTTTCCCAGTTTCCAATTAGAAACAGATCAGGACATAAGTTCTTCACCAGACAGTCCAGCTTTCACTTCTGTATTTCTTAAGTCCTGTAAATTAATTGAGACATAAGCATTGGTGCATAGGATTTACACCTACATAACCTGTATAAACTCTTAAAGTAAGAACAACCTGAGATAAAAATGTAAAACTATTTTAATGGGTTTCTTGATTATTAATTCTACAGGATACTTTTCAGGGAAAATAAATATTTAAATCTTTTGTTTAAAAAGTTAGAACAACTTCACTCTTGAAACAGTGCATATTTTAACAATTCAGTTTAGAAATCTTGAAATGCTGACTGTAATTTTCTTAGATGCCAAAAAAGCTTTTGATATGGAACAGTTTCAATTTTAGGATCACGTTATGAAAAAAAAACTTTTTATTTCTTGGATTAAAATCAATTGTATTAGTGCATCTGCTTGAATTCTGAGAAATGGAATTTTCCCCTCCCCCCCCCCAGTTAAAATGTATGATGGGGCTTCCCTCAAGAAAGTTCTTTTATCTCCAATCAGTAAAAAGGTTATCCTGAAAGCGTGTCAATATAATGCAGTTAATGATTTCCTAATAGTGCAATCCTATACATTCAGAAGTAAATTCTGAAAGCCTTTCTCCAAATGAGGATCGCTAGCAACTTCCTAAGTTTTAACAACACAAAGGACTGAGCCATATGCCAAAAGAAGTGTACGAATCAGAACTCATAGTTAGTTTTATTTGGAGGAATAAGATCCCAACCTATCCTCCAGAACAGTGGTTCTCAACTTGTGGGTCGGGACCCCATTTGGGGTCGAACGACCATTTCACAGGGGGCGCCAAACAATGCAGTCCGCCATTTTTTTCCCCTTTTCCTTAGCTGTGCTACTCCCTTTTATTCTATTTATTTATTTATTTATTTATTTAATTTTATTTATATGCCGCCCAATCCCAAAGGACTCAGGGCGGCGTACAAAATTAAAACAATCATCAACAATAAAATAATACAATCATACAGCATGTCCGATCATATCCCGCCCCCCCCCCCGGGGACATCAGCCCCAGGCCTGCCAGAACAGGAGAGTTTTAACGGCTTTCTTAAAGGCCGGCAGGGTGGGAGTAGTTCGAACCTTGGGGGGAAGTTGATTCCACCAGGTCGGAGCCACCACAGAAAAGGCCCTTCCCCGAGGGCCCGCCAGCCGACATTGTCTGGCTGACGGGACCTGAAGGAGGCCCAATCTATGGGACCTCACCGGTCTCTGGGAGCTGTGCGGCAGTATGCAGTCCTGTAAGTAACCTGGCCCTATGCCATGGAGGGCTTTAAAGGTGATAACCAACATCTTGAATTGCATCCGGAGACCCACAGGAAGCCAGTGCAGCTCGCGGAGGATAGGTGATACGTGGGCGTACCTTGGTGCACACACAATCGCTCTTGCGGCTGCATTCTGAACCAACTGCAGCCTCCGAACGCTCTTCAAGGGTAGCCCCATGTAGAGCGCGTTACAGTAATCCAGTCTTGAGGTGACAAGGGCATGAGTGACTGTGAGTAAAGCCTCCGGGTCCAAATAAGGCCGCAACTGGTGCACCAGGCGAACCTGGGCAAAGGTCCCCCTGGCCACAGCTGATAGATGTTGTTCCAAATTTAACTGTGAGTCCAGGAGGACACCCAAGTTGCGTGCCTGCACTGAGGGAGGTAAATTTGCCCCCCCCCCGGGACTAATGATGGACCATCCAGTTGACCTTTGGGAGGTAAGACCCAGAGCCCAGAGCCACTCGGTCTTGTCAGGGTTGAGTCTAAACCTGTTCACCCCCATCCAGACCCTCACATCTTCCAGGCACCGGCACATCACGTCGACTGCTTCACTGAAAGGACACGGGGTGGAGATATATAATTGGGTATCATCCGCGTACTGATGATACCTCACCCCGTTCGCCGAATGATCTCACCCAGCAGTTTCATGTAGATGTTAAAAAGGAGGGGGTACAGGACCGAGCCCTGAGGCACCCCATGATCGAGGCACCTAGGAGTCGATCTCTGTCCACCCGCCAACACCGACTGCGACCTGTCAGAGAGGTAGGAGGAGAACCACCGCAATACGGTGCCGCCCACCCCCACCTCTCCGAGACGACGCAGAAGGATACCATGGTCGATGGTATCGAAAGCCGCTGAGAGGTCAAGAAGCACCAGGATAGAGGAATGACCCCTATCCCGGGCTCACCAGAGGTCATCGGTCAGTGCGACCAAAGCAGTCTCAGTGCTGTAGCCGGGCCTGAAACCAGATTGAAAAGAGTCCAGATAATTAGTTTCATCCAAGGATCGCAAGAGTTGGGATGCCACCACCTTCTCTACAACCTTCCCCACAAAGGGGAGGTTGGAGACAGGACGAAAGTTGGGTCCAGGGAAGGCTTCTTGAGGAGGGCCCTCACCACCGCTTCCTTTAAAGGTTGCAGGAAAGACCCCTCCATCAAGGAGGCGTTGATTATCGCCTGGAGCCAGCCTCGTGTCACCTCCTTACTGGCAGAAACCAGCCAGGAGGGGCACGGGTCCAATAAACAGGTGGCGGCATTCATTGCCCTCACGGCCTTGTCCACTTCATCAGGGGTCACAGGCTCAAACTCGCTCCAGATAACATGACTAAGACCAGCCCCCGGCAACTTGGCTTTCACTGCCCAGTCGGAGTCCAGGTCTCTCTGAATCTGAGCGATTTTGTCCGAAAGAAACTGAACAAACTCCTCAGCTCTCCCCTGCAAGGGTTCCTCCGCCTCCTCCACTTTAAGAAGGGATCGGGTCACCCTAAACAAGGCGGCCGGGTGAGATTCTGCGGACGCAATAAGTGCGGAAAAGTGAACACGCTTTGCCGCCCTTATTGCCACTAAATAAGTCCTAAGATAGGCTCTTAATAGTGATCGGTCAGATTCAGAGTTACTGGCCCTCCAACGTTGCTCTAGACGTCTCTTGTGGCACTTCATCTCCCGGAGCTCCTCAGTAAACCAAGGCGCCCTCCAGGGACCACCACCACAGAGAGGTCACAAAGGCGCAATTCGATCCAGGGCCCCGGATGCCGCCTCATTCCAGGCCGCAACCAGGGACCCGGACAAGTTGTGGACAAGGGAGTCAGGTATTTCCCCAAGCTCCTCCTGGAACCGATCTGGGTCCATTAGGCGCCTGGGGCGGAACCACCTAGTCGGCTCCCTCTCCCTGCGATGGGGGAGTGATGCTCTGAAGTCCAGCCTCAATAGGAAATGATCTGTCCATGACAAGGGCGAGATCTCTATTCCCCTTAATTCCAGATCATGTCTCCATTGCCCCGAGAGAAACACAAGGTCGAGTGTGTGACCACTCTTGAATAGAGTCTAATTCTATTGGCTTTCAAAAGCCAATAGGAATTGTCCAGGCTGTCTCTGCCCTGCTGAGCTCGCCAAAAGTCCCATTCTGCAAACAGTGCTGCACCAGTTGAGTAGTCCTTGTCTTACGACCGGTTGGGGGTCACGGCGTTAAAAAGGTTGAGAACCACTGCTCCAGAACTTCAGGAGAATCCTGAAAATCCTGGCCCCTTCATTTTGAGGGACCTAATATTGCAAAAAGGTGTTGGTTAATGGATTGCACGTTTTGCACTTTCCTCCCTTTAAGACCACTACATAAATAATTGTGTTGTATTTCTACCGTAGCTTTAAAAAGATAGAGACCAGGTTGAATTTGCTACACTTTAACAGTACCCTGGGGGATGGGGAATTGGAGGAGGGGAGAATCCTGGGTTCTGAAACTTCTTCAAAACCATCCCATCTCATCTCTTGACTTCTGGAAATGTGGCCTGACTTGACAGTGGTTAGAAACCAACACATGCAGAGGTATTAAACCAATGCAGGACATAGGAATTTATCCTGGAAATTACCCCAACAGGCAGAACACGGGAAGATTTGACATTGATTGGAAAATACTCCTACCAAAGTTGATAATATATTTAGATTCATGGATGCCATTCAAAAATTTCTGAACAGAGCCAAAATCAGAGTCAAGAGCACTCCCCTGCCCTCCAAGCTGCCATGTGGCTTTCCAAGTGTAATGGCATTCCTAACATCCATCTTTGCCACCAAATACATTCAGTAGATAAAGATGTCTATGGAGATTCTCAGTCATCCAGGACATAGTTGACAGTAGATAAAGACTATGGGAAATGAAGACCAGCTATGTATTTCCAATGTCTGCTTAAAGAAACCCCATCTAAAGCAGATCAAATAGTATTATCAACCACAGACAGTGGTAGGATTCAGCCAGTTCACTCCACTTCAGCAGAACTGGTAGCTAATTTTTTGTTGCCCAGGCCTAGAATGGACTTCCGGAAGCGACATCCACACACAGAACCAGTTGTTCACATATTTGAATCCCACCACTGACCACAGAATCATGTCCAATCTACCACTGAACATCAAAACCAGGCTGAAAGCAGGATCAGCTGATGCAGGAGAAGGCTACACTTTCTCTGCCCCAAGGATAATTTGAAAATGCTCATCTTTGTGCTGAGAAAACCATCAGCAGTAGATTTCTGCTGATAAGTTAGACCAAGATCATCTTCCTGGTCACTTGGCAAGTAAGATAGGTAAGATAAGTGTAAGATAGACCCAGACCTTTGTTTATTCAGAAGACTTTTTTCTAGCTGTGGGGGAAAAATCACACTTATCAGGCCATAAATGCTTGAAATATAAATTTCTTCCTGGATTTTGCTAGGAGGGACTTGGAGACAAAACTCTTTGTAATAAGAAGATACTTGTCAAATGCCCATCAGTGGTGGAAGGTGCCCAAGGGGTAAGACACGAAATTGTAAGCAAGGGATGGATATGTACCCACCATTGAAGATCAGCAAACTCGCTATCAGAAACCAGAGATACTTGTCTTCCACTTTTCTCCCACTTGGAATTGCAACGTTGAATATGCTTGCATCAGTTGAGTTTCTGCCTGTCACATGGCATTAGAAGACAGAGCCTCTATCAGAGAAAATGGAGCCACACCTCATGAATCATCAAAGGGGCTAGTATTCCATTAGTTTCTGGAGATTTGCCAAATTCCACATAGAGAAAGAAACTGACCGCTATTTGGGCAACTTGCTCTCCCCTGTCCCCCCCCCATTGCTTCATTAATTTCTGAGGGGTGTAATCACATCTAAGTGGGGGGGAGAGAGAGAGAGAGAGAGAGAGAGAGAGAGAGAGAGAGAGAGAGAAAAGCTTCCAGTGTAATCAGGTTAGCAGAAAAGCATTAAAATACATTTTGCAGAGAGGCTCAAGGACTTATCATAGATAAGGGTGCATTCTAGTGGCAGAAATAAGGTAATGCAGGCACAGGTCTGTCCAGGCTGCAAGAAGAAGGGCTGGCATCTAAATTGAGGAGGAAGAGAGGAGAGGTCTGCTTGTGATCTCAAACAAACAAACGAACAAACAAACAAAAAAGACTCTCAATCACACACACACACACATTTTCCTTTAAATGATTCATCGCCACCTTCCAGATATTCGGCAAAAGGCAAAACTACAGCAGAGTTGGGCTATACTGTGCTTAGAGAGGAAAAGGCTGAAAAGAGAGAAAGTGGGGTGTACTTTTTCTAAACAGTTGCTGAATTTTAGGGTTCTGGAAATGCAAACTAATACTCCTCACCCTGTCTATGAGTAAGAAGGCAGTGGTGGGATTCAACCAGTTTGCACCACTTCGGCAGAACCGGTAGCTAATTTTTTGTTGCCCAGGATGGACTTCCGGAAGTGGCATCCACACAGAGAATTGGTTGTTCACATATTTGAATCCCACCACTGCCTAAAGGTCATCTTAACATTTAGAACCAAAGAGCAAAACTTTTCCAAGTAGTGGGATGCTTTGGAATGTTTTGCAAGGCGAAAGGTGGAAGAAGGGGGGAAAAAAACAACTTTTGTAATACATGCCCTACCAAGTCAAAATCCCCTTGTTATACACTGTAACTGATTCCTCTCCCCATGGGGTTCATTTCCATGGATTCTTCCTTCCTTCCCCCCCCCCTTTCTCTGCCCCAGTTCCTGCATTCAATTTAAATCAGTTATGGTGAAGGGGGTGGAGGGTATCATGTATCTATCTCCATCTATCTCATACACCCTAACACAGAGTGGCAACAAAAGCCTCAGGGGCTCGGGCTTACAGGACAGATTGTACACTGGTGAAATCCACCACGCAGGTCTTAGTTTTGCAAGGCCCTATCCTGCCATATATAGCCACACCCATCACATGAAAACCCACAAAGCCAGTGATCATTCCAGAGTAGGTGTAAACTTGATCCTGCAAGGAGACCTTTAGTTTACAGCCCAGCTGCAATGCATCCCCTGCCTGACAACAAGAATCTGCACAAGGAAACCCATGCTGCCCTTGGGAGTATTTTGGGGCAGCATGGAGATATAGTGATGGCAAGGTAACGGTAGGTGGATCAAAGGTTACGCTTTCATAGTGAACATTGGTAGCTAACCACACGCAATTATGATTGGTTTGCATCTATGCTTTTCACCACATCTTGACTTAAGAAACAGGGCTGATCTCATGGCATAGACACAAATACTATCAAACTCCTGCACATTAGGGCTATTATAGAAGCAAATTTGTGATTAACAACAACAAAAAAAAAGTTGGCAATCTAATATGCTGCTCCATTCCCACGCAAGTTTATGTGGAATAAAATCCCAATGACTTGAATGAAATTGGCTCCAAAGTGTGGGTACACAGCTTTACAATTTGGGCACTGAGAATTAAGATGACACCAGTTGAGCCTGAACTTCTGAATGTTTTGAAGAAGAAAAAAAAAGTCCTGCAGTTTGAAGAGGGGGGGGGGGGAAACACACACACACACACACACACACACACACACACACACACACGATTTCTTCTTGCACAGCATAAAGGTGGCAATTGGATGCCTTTGGGTGGTGTGCGTTGGAAGGCTAGAAGTCAAAAGCTGCACAGTCACCCCACCCCACTCCCTCCCCTCCCTACACACACACAAACACACACACACTTGGAGTGTGCACTGAGCTTGCCCTGGTTCCTGGCACCAATTCAGGCTGAGGTGTCATTGGGATCTCAGATTGCAGCAAGGGTCTGGCAGGCAGCCAGGGGCAGTCTATTTAAAAGACATGCCTGCTCGGCACTATTCAGTCTCTTTAGAAACTTCTCCAGGGGGAAAGTGTTGGGAGATCTACAAAGTGGAATTCTTTTCTTTTTCCTCTTTTCCTCCTTTGCTCTCTTTGTCAAAGAGACTTTGTAAAAACCCTTCAACAGAAAACCTCTTTGTTGTTTTTAACCCAATCTAGGAAAAGGAAGGTTTTTTAAAAAAAAAAATTACAGCCAGTCCCAAGCTAAATCTCTTCTTGACAAAGCCCAGCTTTACCTGCTTTAGTGCTACTCCAGACATTTTTTAATTTGCTGCAGATCGTATCAGGACAGTCGAAAAGAAGCTTGTTCAATTCTTTGCTTCCTCCCCAGCCTCTTGCAGACTTTGCTTTTTAGTGGGGCGTGTGGATTATTTTATACTTCTTTGTGCAGCCTCGCCAAAGCTATTCTTGCTCTTTAAAAAAAATTTTTTAAAAACACCCTTTTCCGGTGACTTTTTTTTTTTCCTTTTTTGAATTACCAACCTGTTGCATCTGTAGTTCTTGCAACTGTCAGCTGCAGACAACCTGTGATATAGCGTTTCTTTTATAACAATCTAGGTGTTCTTTTTAAAACATTCTGATTAAGCTCTTTTTGGGGGGGAACCTTAAAGGAGAAGAGACTTATTTTGAGGGGGGGTTTGTCTCCAAAAAGAACTTTGTTTTTCCTTTCGTAACTCCTGCAGCGGTGCGCCTGACACAGAGCCCTGAAGATGTTCCTGATGCAGGCGCTGCTCGTGTCTCTGTGCCTGGGGCTTTCGCAAGGCTTGGGTTCCTTTGTGCACTGTGAACCTTGTGACGAAAAAGCCCTCTCCATGTGCCCTCCCAGCCCTGTGGGCTGCGAGCTGGTGAAGGAGCCCGGTTGTGGATGCTGCATGACGTGCGCTTTGGCTGAAGGGCAGTCCTGTGGGGTGTACACAGAGCGATGCGCCCAAGGCTTGCGCTGCCTGCCGCGCCAAGGCGAGGAGAAGCCCTTGCACGCCCTGCTCCATGGCAGAGGGGTCTGCCTCAATGAAAAGAGTTACAGAGAGCAAGCTAAGAATGGTGAGTCCTGCCCTGGGCCTTGGCTCAGCTTCTTTTCTTTACTTCTGCTAGCAGGGTGGAGGGGTGGCAGGGTGGGGAGGAGAGGGCTTCCTTGTCTATTTGTTGCCTGCCATGTACTGAGCATCCTCTGAACATCTTTCTTTACTTCCTTCAAGCAGGTTTAGGCATCAGCAGGTCATTTTTCTAATCCGATTATGCTCCGATCTGATGCCTTCTCCTCCCTTCCCACTTTTCTTCTGTAGGGCTCCTTCTCTTTCTCCAGAGCTATCTTCCCGTGTTTTTTTTTTTTTCCCCAGCTGAGTCTTTCAGGGCATTCTCATCTTGCATAACTTCTGTTACTCCGACTAGACCCTGGTTTCTTTCTCTCTGATTAATTTCCCTCACTACATTTGGACTGCATTTCAAGTACCACAGCCTCCTCCTTCAATCTCTGCTCTGTTCTCTCTGTAGCTCAACCCAAACACCTTCACCCACCTGTTGGGGTTGACAGGACTTTGGGGGCAGATAATCTGAGGCACCCAGAAAAATGAGCAGGACATCCCTAAGAAAGGAGTGCCAGCTTCCCCCATTCTGAAATAAATGCATATTCCAATCTGAAAGAAAGGGGAGGCTTAAGATTAAGTCCCCCATTTTATAAATAACCACCTTTGGTACTTACCCCCTGGATCTCCATCACCATGACCCTTCCCCAATAGTGCCAGGCTTAGCAGCAGTCTATCTTCTCAGGCCTTTGTGAATCAATATAGCACCCTTTGCATCAATGTGGCAATACCAATATCCGGTTGAGTCCCATTTGAGTTGACTTTTCATACCTGAATCTGTAGCCCCTTCCCATCCTCAGAGTGAGCTTCCCTCTGACTCCATCTGTAGGTTGTTTCGGGGGAAGGCAGGGTGGCATCAAAATGAAACAGGTGCAACAGAATGAAAAAGAGTTGGGAGAGGAGTGGGGGGAGAGAGTTTTGAAAGGAAATCTTGGTCAGCATTCTTGCCTAGGAAGAAACCCTCAAATCCAATCCTGACCCTACTTTTTCCTGGCTTATTAGCACCTCCTTCCTCTTCTTCCTGTCTCCATACCAAAATTCCAGAGAGCTTCATTCTTTTTTTCTCTGCCCCCCACCCCCCAAACAAAAGCCACTCTTTTATCAGTTGCCCCCTTCTGCAAAATCCAGCATCCACCAAATGCTAGTTGCATCTAACCAGTGAAGAACAGCAGCTACAAGCCTCTTCCTAACCCTCAATAAATCTTGTTCCATTCATTGTATTCCTCCCCCACCTCCTCTCTCTCTCTCACACACACACACATACACACACACATCTCTTCTTTGAAAGCATTGGTTCCGTTTAGTTGTCATTTCATTTGGCAGAGCAAAAGTTTCTTAAAAAAAAAAAAATCAACAAATTTGCCAAACTTCAATTGCTGCTTTTTTAGGGGGAGGGGAAGAAGTTAAGGCCAGAAATTTTGGTCAAACTGCTGTAGTCTTGTGCTAGGGGGCGGGGGAGGGGGTGGAAGAGAGGCGAGGAGAAGATTTAATTTTGATTTTCTGCTTGAAACTCAGGAAACTATGCAAAGAACTGCTTGTGCTCCAGCTAAGTAAAATACCCTCACTTGTGCTCCTTCAGATTGCGAGTGCACACACACACACACACACACACACACACACACACACACACACGTGTGTGTGTGTGTGTGTGTGTGTGTGTGTGTGTGTGTGTGCAAGAATGCTGACCAGGAACACAAGTAAAATTGTTACCTATAGGGATAGCAACAGCAACAGTTGAGCAATTCGCTCTCCTCTGTTTAAGAGTTACAACAGTGCCCCTTACAGACTGCCCAAACCTGCAGCGTTTTGAGTTTGGACTGAATCTGAATACACCCTTACATTTTTGTCTATCTGCCGCTTTCTCACCCTCTGTTACCCCCACACTCCCACACATAACACACAACACCCCCCCCCCAAACACACACACATTTTCTGATCCCAGCTGAGCAGCAGGTGCTCCAAAGCAATGGGTGTCAGCCCACTGGCCACAAGCTGATGCATGCCTTGGGAAGACCAAAGAGTGATTAAGCAAAACTTTGGCACCTCCCTCACTTGCCTGTGGCTGTTGAAAGAGCTTTTCCATATTGTTTCCTTGGGGGGGGGGCAAAATCATTGTCAGCCTTGACTGAAACAAGTCCAAGGGTTTATATATTATACTACACCACTTAATTCAGGGGGTGGTGGGGCTTAAGAAATGTTCGCAGCCAGCCAGGGATGCACAGGGGAGTTATGAACCAGGGTTATGGCTTACTGTCTTGTAATGATCCCAGCCCATTGTAGCTTATTCAGTAATTAACAAACCATGGCATAACACATATGTCTTCAGCCAATGCATCTGAATCACTTGTTTTTTCTTTCTTTTTCACATAAATGAAGCATCTGAAGTGTCTATCAGTTGTGTTATGGTTTAGGAAATTACTGACAAATGGAACAGATGTGGCACAAATGACTGCTCCATTAACATCTAGGGCCAAATTTTGAAGAATTGTTTCCCCTGAGTTAGATCCTCATCAGATTGTCCTTGGTAGCTTCCATTATTAAAATGGGGGAAAATTGGGATAGACCAATTTATATCTTTGCCTCTCAGATTTAGATACCTATCAATACCAGGTATCTTCTTGAGATACCTGACATATTTCAAGGGTTTTGAAATATTTTAATGGAGCTGCAAATTTCTAAATAGCTCTTCCCTTAAAAATACTTTACTGTTCCATTAGCTTGCCAGTCACCTTGTTCTTTATCCCAGATCTTCTAAATTAATTTCAAAATACCTTTGTTTGCTTCTCAGTTAAACTTTAATCCAATAATGTTAAAGGCGGACCACCAAGGACTTCTTTACTCAAATACAGAAGCTTAATGGGAATGGATGGTTCAGATGTAATCAGATATTTATGTCTGCTATTTTTTTTTAAAGCAGGATTGTTTTTGAGGGCAAGAGATGGGAGGGGAACCTCTTAGCATCAGAACAGCAAAATGTGAGAACTGTGAAGTATATTTTTTTGTAGGCATGTTTCTAAGCAACTGGTGAAAGGGAAGAAATAAAATTTGACTCTGAACTCAAATTGTGTGCCAAGGTTGGAGAAGACTTCAAGGAGTGAGTCCTGGCTATAGTTATTCATCAGAATTGATCAATATTGGATCACGATGAAAGGGTAAAAGTCAAGGCTCTGTCTAAACGAGAGTCAAGCACTTTTTAAAATAACAATGAACACCTGTTTATTGCCAAAGCAAAACGGTTTCAGTGCATGATTTCCATTTCGACAGAATATGAAATTTGTGAGGAGATCATTAGAAACTTCACTGACATTAGATCCAGGGGATGCAGCAATATACTGTGGAACAGGGGTGGCTGGCTGAGGAATTCTAGGAGTTGAAGTCCCCAAGTCTTAAAGTTGCCAAGGTTGAGGACCCCTGCTGTAGAAGAACATCCACTCCAGGAAAACTAATAGCAGTAAGCCTCCTATGTCCAAATATCTAAAGGGTCTTCACAGAGAAGTGGACTTACACCCTTTGCCCCAGGGGACAGGATTACAAACAGGGTTCAAGCTATGAGCTGGTGAAACAGATTGTCACATGAAGTGATGAATTTGTTTTTGCTGGGGGTCTTCAGACCAAGCCTGAGTGATAATGTATGAAAGATGCTCTAGTGGATTCTGCATTGAGCTAGGGGGTAGGACTAGATAATCTCTAAGGTACCTTCCAACATTATGACCCCTACATCTTAATTTCTCCAGTACAGTTGCTAATTAAGCTCTCCCTGCCCATAAAAGTCAGCAAGGTTGGGTTTTTTTTTTCTCCCCACTATTTCATATGCAGTGTATCAGGGGTCTTCAAACTTGGCCCTTTTATGACCTGTGGACTTCAACTCCCAGAATTCCTCAGCCAGCGTGCCTGGCTGAGGAATTCTGAGAGTTGAAGTCCACAAGTCATAAAAGGGCCAAGTTTGAAGACCCCCTGCACTATATGGTGTCAGTTCTATTCATTTCCTTATGCTCCTTTAACTGCAAACATCACACATGGATTTGTATTCCTGGGATAGGACCATATTGTATACAGTATGTGAGTGTGCTCTCCTCCGTGATGGTTTTTATACTTCTCCTGCATATGGAAAAATAGATAAAAAGGAAGGTGCTGTGTTTAAAAATCTTTTCCTCTAGTAGTTCTCATACCCTGGGAGGTTTTGGGTGGGGACTTTTGATTCCCTAACTGCATTTGGAAGGATTCCGCACGAGGTTTTTTAAGCATTTAGCTCTTGTTCAAAATCATTCACACCCTTTAACCCACCTGAGAGAGACAGGCTTTGTCCACACTTGCAGTTGTTACAGAAGCAGCCCCTAGTGGCTACATGCTGCAATTGCAGCTCAGTGGAAAAAATAAAATATAGTACCCTCTGGGTTAGACAAGATAGTCCTTGACTTACGACCACAGGTGAGCCCAAAATTTCCATGGCTGAGCAAAACAGTCATTAAGTGAGTTTTGCCCCACATTACAACTTTTTTTTTTTGTTAAGTGAACCTCTGCACTTGTTATGCTAGAAACACGGTTGTGAAATGAATCTGGCTTCCTCATTGTCAGGAGGTTATAAATGGTGATCACATAACTCCGGGACAATGCAATTCTCACAAATACATGCCAATCACCAAGCATCCAAATTTTGATCATGTGACCATGGGGAACGCTGCAACAAGTCATATGTGTGAAAAATGGCCATCGGTCTCTTTTGCAACCTCATTATAATTTTGAACGGTCACTAAACAAATAGTTATAAGTTGAGGACTACCTGTAATTGATGGTCCTGGATTTTCTTTTCTTTTTTTTTCTGCTGCTTGCTTTGACCTCGTGACACCACACCAGTTGTTCTCTAACTTAACTTCTGAGTAGTCCCAGCCTATGTTTACTTTCTGAACAGTAAGAGCAACGGTGAGTTATTATCATACTCTGCATGTTTAACTTGCTCAG